AAGCTTTCTAGTGATGGAGTATCCAGAGTAATTCTGACAGCTGTGTCTTTGGGTGCCACATTCTGCTCAGATCTGAAGCATTTCCGTCTGCTGCTGGTTGATGCAGTTTCCAAGCACGAGGAGCTGGCACAGTTCGTGCTCTGCCTGGGGAGGTTCACCTCGGGGCTGTCACCCCTGGAGAGCAGGGAGCCCTCTGCTCATGGAGCTCATTTCTCCCCCAGGATCGTTGCTGCTCGGCTGAATGGCTCCTTGGATTTCTTCTCGCTGGAAACACACACATCCTTGAACCACCTGCAGTTTCGAGGTGAGCAGGCATCATCTCACAGCCCCTTCCTGAGCCTTTGCATCAGTGCTTCGTTCCAAAAGCGCTGCAGGATGCCACATGTGATACTGAGCAGAAGGAGGCCTTCTTTGGGAATTCTTTGAGGAGGGAAAGCATTCTGAGCACTGCACAGCATCACAGAATGGTTGGGTTGGAAGGAACCTCAAGGATCACGAAGCTCCAACCCCCCACCAATGCAGGGCCACCAACCTCCCCATTTCACAGCAGCCCAGGCTGCCCAGGGCCCCATCCAACCTGGCCTCCAACACCTCCACGGATGGACGGGGCATCACAGCCTCTCTGGGCAGCTGTTCCAGCCCCTCACCGCTCTCACAGCACACAACTTCCCCTCACATCCAACCTCCAGCTGCCCTCCCTCAGCTCCAAACCATTTCCCTCGTCCTGCTGCCATCTCCCCTTTCCAAGAGCTGACTCCCCTCCTGTCTGCAGGCTCCCTTGAGGTACTGTTCTCCAGTGCCTGAGTCTGAAGAGTGGAGCTGTGCTTTAGGGTCAGCTCTGCCCTGAGGCTCTTTCCTCTCCCAGCTCCCAGTTACTCCTTCAGCAAGGTCTGCTCCAGGCACTGGCTCCCCACATGGCACTGCTGTGACACACAGGAGTTGAAATACCACTGGTGGTATCTGTTCTGCACTGTGTTGGCTCGTTTGCTTCTGGGATGGCTTGGAATGGAGAGAAGCCATTGCAGGGGGATGGTTTCACTCCCTGGGGTCTGCATGCTGTGGGAAGGAGGAGCAGGCTCTGTGGGAAAGGCCTGGCCATGGAAATGCTGTTTCCTTGCAGGGCGCACAGCTGTGTGCTCTCTTTCACAAGGACAGCCACAGTGCTCTTCAGTGTCACCCTTCTCAGACTTGCCAAGGACCGACTGTGGAAGGACTGCTGATTTGCTCAGCTCTTTGGTGCCCAGGCTCACATTGGGTTCAGCCCCAGGCATCCTCGTTGTGCCCCTCTGGCTGAGATCACACGCAGAGCTGCAGTGAGGACTTACTGTGCTCTCTCACTGCAGGAGCCCCAAGCAGAAGCAGCATCCCATCCTCCCCAGTGTTCAGCAGCAGCGATGTCATCGTGTGCCAGCTCACCCACACCGTCTCCTGCGCCCACCAGAAACCCATCACAGCACTGAAGGCTGCAGCAGGACGGCTGGTCACGGGCAGCCAGGACCACACTTTGAGGGTGAGCAGCCTCTTGGGTGTGGGTGAGCTCCATTCGTGCACAGTGGGGGCGATGCTGGCACATGTGTGTGTGCAGGAAGGTGTGCAGGAAGGCAGAGCGTGCCTGGGTGGTGTGGTTGGTGCAGTGCAGTGCAGTGCAGTGCAATGCATTCCTGAAGTTGTGCTCATCTGCATGGTGGGGGCTCCTTGGTGGTAGAATGGCAGAGCTCTGTGTAAGGTATCTTGGTGAACAGAGCATGAGATCGTGGAGTCACAGAACTGCAGGAGAATTGAAAGGGACATCTGGAGATCCCCAAACTCCAACCCCCCCCCAAAGCAGGTTCCCTGCCATAAGCTGTACGAAAAAGCATCCAGGTGGGTTTGAATATCTTCAGAGAAGGAGATTCCCCACCTCTCTGGGCTCTGTTCCAAGGCTCTGCCCCCCTTACGGGAAAGGTGTTCCTCAGGTTCAGATGGAACTTTCTGTGTTCCAGTCTGTGCCTGCTGCCCCATGTCCTGGCATTGGGCAGCACCAAACAGAGCCCAGTGCCTCCCTTCAGATCCCATCAGCCCTGCTCAGATCCCCATCAGCACTGCACAGATCCCCATCAGCACTGCTCAGATCCCCCTCAGCACCGCTCAGGTCCCTCAGCCTTCTCTCCACCATGCACACAGCCCAGGGCTCATCCTGCCCCATCAGGAGGTGCTCCAGGCCCCACCACCCCACAGCTGGGCTCTGTGCAGCAGTTCCCATCTCCCGGAGCCGGGCGGCCCCGCACTGCAGCACTCCTGATGCGCCCCCCAGGGCAGAGCAGAGGGGAGGAGCAGCTCCCTGCCCTGCTGGCTGTGCTCTGTGCAGTGCATCGCAGGGTGCCGGGGGCCTCCTTGGCTACCAGGGCTCGCTGCTGACTTATGGTCAACCATTGGTCAACTGTTGGTCCACCAGGACCCCCAGGTCCTTCTCTGCAGAACTCCTCCCCAGCAGCTCACTGGGTTCCTTGGTGCCCAGCTCTCAAGCTGTGCAGCTCCTCCTGTGTGGCAGCATTACAGCCTTCTGATATGGGAGACCCTCCTGCCTCTGGGCTGGGTGATTTCTGGGACAGTGTCTGGGTTGGGGGTTGTCCCCATTCTCCCCTGACCCTTCCCTGTGCCCCACAGCTGCTCACCTCTGCCCCTCGTGCCCCACAGGTGTTCCGCCTGGAGGATTCCTGCTGCCTGTTCACACTGCAGGGCCACTCAGGAGCAATCACTGCTGTGTACATTGATCAGGTGAGCTCAGCCGGGGTGGGAACCAGGAGAGCATCCCTTATGATGGCTGCTGAGCCAGAGGGGCCGTGCTGCGTGTGGAGAAGTTGGCGTGTGCTCCTCTGAGATAGCAGAGGGAGCGACCCCTGCTGCAGGTTTGCTCTCTGTCCCTTGGGAAGAGGAATGAGAGCAGGGAGTCCTGGGTGGTCCGGGTGGCTCTGCTGCTCTGCGCTTCCTGACCCGGCTCTGCCCCTCACAGACGATGGTGCTGGCGAGTGGAGGGCAGGATGGGGCCATCTGCCTGTGGGATGTGCTGACGGGCAGCAAGGTGAGCCACATGTATGCGCACCGCGGGGACGTCACCTCCCTCACCTGCACCACGTCCTGCGTCATCAGCAGCGGCCTGGATGACGTGATCAGCATCTGGGACCGCAGCTCAGGGATCAAACTCTACTCCATCCAGCAGGTCGGTGGCAGTGGGGGGAAGGAGGGAGGCTGGAGGGTTCCCCAGCAAACCCCACAGAGTGTGTGGATGTGTGGGCTGAGGGGGAACAGCTGGTGTACAAGGATGGGTGGTGATGGGACAAGGGGAATGGTTTTAAAGTGAGACGGGAGGTTTAGGTTGGATATGAGGAGGAAGTTTTTCCCCCAGAGGGTGGTGAGGCACTGGCACAGGTTGCCCAAGGAGGCTGTGGATGCCCCATCCCTGCAGGCATTCAAGGCCAGGCTGGATGTGGCTCTGGGCAGCCTGGGCTGCTGGTTGGCGACCTGCACACAGCAGGGGTTGCAATGAGATGAGCATCGTGCTCCTTTGCAACCCAGGCCGTTCTGTGATTCTATGATACGATTCAACTCCAGCCCCACTCCTGGCACAGTGCTGGGGCTGAGCCTCTTCTGCTTCACTTCCATGCAGGAAATGGGCTGCGGCTCCAGCCTGGGCGTCATCTCCGACAACCTGCTGGTGACGGGCGGGCAGGGCTGCGTCTCCTTCTGGGACATCGGCTACGGCGATCTGCTGCAGACTGTCTACCTGGGGAAGAGCAACGAGTCGCAGCCCGCGCGGCAGATCCTCGTGCTGGAGAACGCTGCCATCGTCTGCAACTTTGGCAGCGAGCTCAGCTTGGTCTACGTGCCCTCAGTGCTGGAGAAACTGGACTGAGGAGGGACGGGTGCTGCAGGCCGGGCGGTGAGCGCCGGGTGGATGCGGCGATGGGACGGACCTGGATGTGCAGCTCTGCAGGGCTCTGCTGGCTCTGCTCTGTGTGAACTGCTCTGTGTTGGCCACCAGGCTGCAGGCACTGAGCCCTGCAGCCTCCCCGCGTTTCCTGCGCTGCTCCTGGGCTGCATGGGATGGTCAGAGGTTGGTGTGCGTGCTGCTGAGGCAGCATGCTGGAGGCACTGTGCTCTGCTGCAGCACCCTGCGTGGGACAGGAGCTGCAGGGCCGCTGGCTGCAGCAGGAAATGCTGCAGCTGGGGCGTGTTGAGGTGGTTCCTTGAGCCGGGCAGCTGGTGAGGAGACAAAATGAAAGCAGTGGGTGTGGAAGCGTGGAGCTGGGGGGCTCAGGTGCCTGCCTTGCTGCAGCACGGCCGGGGCCCCATTGCCTGCAGTGCTCCGTGGGGCAGGAGGCCGCTGCACGCAGCGCAGCTCTGTGGCTGTAGGCAGGACGGCTCCATGCTGAGCGGCTCCACGTGCCTTAGCGTGCAGGCCGGGCCCGGGCAGCCCTGCTGTGTGTGGGCTCTGTGCTGCAGCAGTTCCTGCCCTATTTATTTATATGCTGTATATATTTATTTATTCTGGCAGGAGAGTGCGAGAGCTGCCCCGGGCCCCATCTGCAGCAGTAGCACCTTCCTCCTCCTTCTCCTTGGACTGGGGGAGAGGGGCCCAGGGCGCACATTCTGCTCCAGGGGTGCGGGGCCGTTCCCCAGCAATTCCTATTACTCTTTTTGCTCAAGTAAACGACGCTGTTGTCTGTTCCTCAAACCCCACTGATTGTAGGGGCAGCGCTGCAGCCCAGGAGCAGCTGCAGGGGGGGAGGAGGAGGAGGACAGCCCCGGCCCCGGCGCCCGCCCCGCACCTCGGGTGGCCTTAGCGCTGCTGTACGCTTTGTGCTGTACAGTGGGAGCATTTTTGTACCAGATCGTGTTTTATATGTGTACAGACACCTCCATTAAACACAACTAACCCGAGTGTGGCTGCTGCAAGTGCCGACCCATCGCCCCCTCGCTCAGCCCCACGGCTGCGGCCAAAGCCCGAGCGGGAGAAGCGCTTCAGTGCCAGATCAAACTCTCTTTATTTTAGTAGCAAAGAGCTGAAAAAGTCAGTTCTGCTCAGAGTGAAAGGCCGAGCTGAGCGCCCGTGTGACGCTGCACGAAGCAGAGGGTGGAGGGAGGCCGTGCCCCACCGGGCCCCACAGAGCTGGGGGCTGTAGTGCTGCTGGGGGAGGGTGGGCTGAGCCACCCCTCAGCTCTTGTTGAGTGTCCAGAGGGGGTCGAGCATGCTGAGCGGGTCATCGCTGGGCCGGGGTGCCCGCAGCCCTTCTCCCGTCTGTGCCTGCAGGAAGTTCTGTTTGTTCATGCGCTGTTTGCCCTTCAGCGACGCGTCCAACGTGAAAGCCTCGGGAGTGAGCGAGGCGAGGAGCTCCAGGGAGGAGGTGGGCGCCGGGGGGGCAGCGGGGGCTGGTGGGGGGATCTCCTCCACGTGGTTGCTGCTCTCGGTGTCACCCGGTGGCTCTGGCACCGGCTCAGGTTTGGGGGCGCAGACACCATCCACCGCCGTCCCTCCATCCGTCCCTGTCCCTCCGTCCATCACATCATCAGGCAGCACGGGCACAGGCACAGCCTCCACAGCAGCAGCGTTGGGCACAGGGGCGATTTCCGGCCCCCAGCACCCCCCTCCCTCCCCCCCGCCCGGCGGTTTGATGCTCAGCTTGGCGATGGTGGCCTGGATGGAGCTGATGGGCACATCGCCGCCCAGCACCAGATCCTGCGGGTCCTGCTGGAAGTAGAGCTGCGGGAGAAGCTCCGTCACCCCCCACGCTGTGCCACCCCCACCGCCCCCCCCCCCCCCCCCCCCCCCCCCCCCCCCCCCTGGGGGGGCGCTGTTGGCTTTGGGGACGGCCGGAGCGCCCACCCCGTGGCGGTGCAGCAGCTGCTCGGCGTGCTGCAGGACGGCCTCGTAGCAGAACTTGAGGTGCAGCTGCAAGAGGAAGGTGGGAGCACGGTAAGCACAGCACCGGGATACGACCCTCCCCCTGCCCCCAGCCCAGGGCCCCCCGGTACCTTTTCCTGCAGCATGTGCTTGCGCTGCTGCCGCATGCGTCTCACCAGCTGCGCCAGCTCAGGGATGCCGTTCCCCGCCTCCACCTCCTGCACGGCAGCGTACAGCAGGCAGAACGCACCGGTGCGGCCCACGCCGGAACTGCGGGGATACGGAGATGAGGCCGGAAGGCACAAAACCGGCACGGCACCAAAGAGATTCCCTCCCACCCCCCCCTCCCACCCCTCCAAACCTCCCACCAAGCCGAGCCCGCAGCGCCGCTCACCTGCAGTGCACGACGATGGGGGTGTGCAGCGGGCGCTGGTGCAGGTAGTGGCCGTGCACGTCCTGGATGAAGCGCAGCAGGCTCGCCTTGCTGTCGGGCAGACCCCTGCGGGGAAAGGACGCTCAGTGCGCGCTGGGGACCCCAATTCAACCCCCACCCACCCCCCGGTCAGGGCTGCCCCACGCAGTCTCTCCCCCCACGCTGGAGCTGCACCGGTGGGCAAGGAGCAGCTCCCTCCCTGCTACAAAGCGCCCCCCCTTCCCTCCTCCGTCCCCCTTCATCCCCTTCCCCCCGGCCCCCGAAGCCCTTTGCCGTACAGCTCCGGCCAGGAGGTGAACTGCAGATGGATGACGGTGCGCTTCAGGCTCTGATCGCGATACTGCAGCGTTATCATCCGCTCCACGTGGGTCGGGGCCGCCTTCACGCTGCTGAGGACGAGAGTGATGGGACCCTGCACCACCGGCTGGCCCCGCTCCGTCGGGAAATACCGCAGCACTTTTTGCTTTAGGGATGAGACGGGGGAAAAGGGTCAGGAGTGCCTAGAGATCTCCCCCCATCCGCATACCGAGCAGTGCAGGGACAGCCCTCCACTCCCCCATGGAGCAGCCCTACCTTCTCCAGCTCCTGCTCCGACACCAGCATGACAACCACGGACACTTTCTGCTCGTAGATCATGAGCCAAAAGTCGGCGGCGGTGCCGAGCAGTGGCGCCTGCGTGGCGATGATGGTCGGGCAGTACGGGGACAGATCCTCCACCCTGCTGGCGTTGATGTAGTCGTCTTTGCCCGAGCGGAGCACCACGCGGTTCCTGTCGTAGGGCATGATGTCCTGGTGTCGGTTCTTCATGGAATAGCAGCGGGCGATGGCGATGGAGAGCTGTCGGGCGTCGCGCTCCTGGGCGTCCTGCAGCTCCTTCCAGAGCGCGTCCAGCTCCGCGGCGCCGCCGGGCTCCGTCTGCTCCAGGCGCTGCAGCAGCGCTCGGAAGCGCTCCAGCTCAGCCCGCAGCCGCAAAACGCGCTCGGGTTTCTCGTAGGGATCGTTCTCGATCAGCTGCACCGCTTTGGGCTTCTGACCCTCCTTGGCGTCCGCCTTGGTGGGCTGCAATAGGGGTTGCCCCACGGCCGCCTTGGAGCCGCCGTGTTGGCTCTCGGGGCTGGAGGACAGGAGGTCGTCGGTGGAGGAGCTCTGGCGCTGGAAGGCGGTCTCGGCTGTGCCCGGCGCGGGGGTCAGCGACGGCGGGGGTCTGTGAGGCACCGCGCCGGGCACCAACGGCGGGGGCTGCACGGGAGGCTGCGGGGATGGGGCCGGGGAAGGGACGAGAGGGCACGGCACCACCACGGGGCCTTGAACCTGGCTGAGGACGGGGCCTGGAGATGGGGCGGGGGAGGGCTGGGGGGGCCTCAGGGGGGCGGGGGGGTGGCACGGAGCGGGGCTGGGACAGAAGGGTAGAGCCGGAGAACCGCCGGGCACGGGCTGCAGAGCACCGTGCATGGGCTGCGCCATAGGGCCGCTCTGACCGGGGGGTCCGGGCACCGCCGTGCCGAACGGGAGGGACCCGCCGTGAGGGGGGAGCCCGGGGGGCGGCAGTTTGTCTTGCCCGGGGGGCAGCTGGTAGAGCTGGGGCCGCAGCGGGGGCTGCCCGGGAGGCAGCTGCCCTACGGGGCCGGAGAAGGGCTGCTGGGCAAAGGGGCCTTGGGGGGGTAACGGGGGCCGGGCCGGGGGCTGGAAGGGCAGCGAGACCTGCGGGCGGGCCGGGGGGAGGAAGGGAGCGGCTGCTGCGGGAGGGAACGGCTGCGGGGCAGCGACGGCCGGGGGGCGAACCGGGAGGTCCGCGGGGGACGGGAAAGCGGCGGGGGGCGGCGCCGGAGGGACCGGAGCCGCGGGGCCGACGGGCGGCTGCCGCCCCGCCTGGGCATCGGGGGGGAAGGAGGCGGCGGGGCCGCCCGGGCGCTGCGGGGCCACGAAGCCCCCCCCCAGAGGGCACCGCCGGCCCCGGGAGCCGCGGAGGGGCCGCGCAGCTGGAGATGGGCGCCTGCACGCTGTCCACGGTGGTGGTGGCCGGGCGCGCAGGCGGGTTTTGCTCGGGGACGGCCACGGGGGTCGGACCCACGGCCGGGGGTCTGACGGGGCCGGGCGGGGGCAGCCCCGGTTGGCCAAGGCCGTAGGAAGCAGCGGGAGCCGCGGCGGGGCCGTGCTGCGGGGAGGAGCGCGGGGGAAGCAGGCGGGGCACCGGGTAACCGGGTTGCGCCAACGGCGGCCGGGGCTGCACCGCACCCCGCAGCAGGGAAGCGGCGGGGAAAAGCTGAGGGGCAGAGGAAGGGGCCGAGCTGGGGGGCGGCCCGCTCACCTGGGGGGCGGAGGGCTGCAGGAGCTGCGCCGGCACTACCGGAGCTCCGGAGACGTGGGGAAAGGGAGCCGGGCCGGCAGCGGGCGCCGGCGGCAGCCCGTAATGCCCGGGGAGGGCGGGGAAGCGCGGCGGGGCGAAGGGCTGGCCGGGCTGCAGCGGTGCGCTCGCCAGCCTGGGAGCGAAGAGGTCGGGGCCGGGGGGCCGCAGCCCCGCAGGCAGGGCGGGATCGAGGGCGAGCGCGGCCAGCGTGGAGGGCGGCAGGCGGGCGAGATGCGCGGCCAGGACGTCGGGGGGGAGGCTGCGCAGGTCCTCGGGCAGGTCGGCCAAGGCCAGGGAGGCCAGCGGGGGGAGGTCGCCCACTTCTGGCCCCTCGGCTTCCAGCTCCAATGGCTTCTTCTGCAGGGAGGGTTTGGGGGCTGTGGGACGAGGGGGTGGGTGCTTCTTCATTTCCCTGCCAGGGGGGAGTAGGGATTAACGTGGGCAGCTCACCCTGAGCCTCCCCCATCTCCACCCAGCAGGGTGCTGACGCTGCCCCGTGGGGTGAGGAGAGTTCACAGGGCTGTGGCACCGAAGCCAGAGCCTCCACCCCGCAGCCAACCGTGCTTCTCTCCCTTCCTGGCTGTCCCACTGCATTCCCTCCAGCCCCAGCACCACCTACTTCTCCAAGATCTGCTGCCTGTTGGCTTCAGCAGCCTGGCAGGCTGCCCGTGCCCTCTCCAGCAGCTTGGCAGCTTTCCCCTCCAGGTCGGTGTAGAAGTCCTTCCCCTCCTGAGATTTCTTCATCAGGTCCTCGTAGGCTTCGTAGGAGGCCACCAAGGTCTGAACAGTGGTGTTCCACCTGGGGATGGGGCACAGAGGTGTGTGCATGCACAGAGGACTGGGCTGCCCTCATGTTCCCCTGCCCCTGGGTAGCCCCTCTGTGCAGCATCAGCAGTCACCAGCGCCCCCAGCCCCACAGGCAGCCCGTTTGGAGTGGGTGAGGGCTGTTCCCATACACCAACACCCACATCATCCCGTGCCCCCACTCACTTGTGCTCCACCTCAGCCAGGGCCTTGCGCACAGCTGCATATTTGACATTGGCATCTGTCAGGGCCTTCAAGATGTTCTCCTGCGCAGCCAGATTCTGCTCCAAGTATACCTTGATCTGGTCATACTTCTTCAGCTGCTCCTCAAAGAGTTTCTGCCCAAAGAGGGAAGGATCTGAGGGGCCAGCAGGCACACTGCCTCCCAAGGGGCTGAAGGCTGGGATGGAGCAGAGCTCTCACTGCGGCCCATACTGGGGTATGTGGCACAAGGAAGGGCTGAGGACACCCACCTTCATCTCAGAGCGATCAGTGGTGACCAGTGAGGTGGTGATATCGTCCTTCTGAATCATCTCACGCAGCTGCTGCTCCAGGGACATCCGCTGGTCCCTCATCTCCTGCACCTTGCCCAGGATTCTCTTCAGGTTCTGCAGCACCTGTTTGTCATCTGGGGGATAGGGAACGCTGAGCGACTGCGGTGGAGCCACGCAGCAACCCCAGCCCAAACCCAAAGCAAAGGGAGGGGAGCTGCAGGGGGTGGGATGTGGGGTGGGTCAGCAGTGTGCTTCTCACCTTCGCTCAGTGTGGGTGAGGGCAGCGCAGCCCGGACCTGTTCCAGCGGCCCGCTGAGCAGGCGCAGGTTGCCAATGTGCAGGTTCATGGCTTTGTGCAGCTCTGTGTTGGTGAAGCTGGCCTTCTCGTGCAGCTCCATGTACTTGGAACACTCCTTGCTGACCTCAGCCAACCCTGTGGAGGATGGTGGTGGCGGGGAGCCCTGTGGCACTGAGCCCTTCCCCAGCAGCTCCTGCAGCTTGCGTTCCTGAGCCTCGTCCTCCTCAAGCAGGTCCCGGATCTCCTTCAGTGAGGCCTCCACATCAGTGAACACCCCAGAGAGCACTGGAAGAGCAACAAAAAAGCTGGTTTGTGCCCAGGAGGGGCCTGCAGTGTGCTCCAGGAAGCACCAAACCCCTCTGCTGCAGGCAGGACACTGTCACCTACCACAAACAGCCAACGGGAAGGAAGCTTTAGGGGTAAGGAATTTATACAGGCAAGAAAATGGTGATTGGAGATTCCCCAGCTGCAGCCAGGGGGAAAACAGACAATCTCAGCCCCTTGCTGGTCCCAGTGAGCTCACCCTGCATGGACTGGACGAGGTTCTTGACGGTGTCGGGGCGCACGCTGAGCGCGGCACACTTCTCCATCAGGATGGGGGGGGATGTGGCTGTACATGTCCTGGTTGTCCACTGTCTCAGGGTCCAGCTGCATGGAGTCCATGAACTGGCTACAGGTGGAAAGAAGCTCCTGAGTGATGGCACCTGACCACCCCCAGCATCCCCATCCCACACCACAGCCACTTCAGGGCATGGTCCTAAGGAATTGTCCCCCAGCAGCAAAGCGAAGCTGCTGGATGAATTGGGAACTGGTCACTGACCAGAGCTGGGCAAACTGGGACAGACTGTGCTCAGCACGAGGGCAAAGGGCTGAGAGCTCAGAGGTGTCTGTTCCCATCAGCAGCTACCCCATGCCCAGCTCACTGCCCTACACCCGGGTCTGGAGCAGGGGGAGAGGCCAGGGCCCCGTTCAGGTACAGCTCACACGTACTCCAGCACTTCATTCTTGGCTTCAATCTTTGCCATTACGTCTCTCAGCAGTTTGGCCTTCTCCTCACTGTAACAAAGAGAAAAATCCTTCAGTGCTGCTGTGAGACTCAGGAAACAATCATTGTAGGGGTTGGAAGGGACCTCTGGAGATGAGCTGCAGCCCAGCCACCCCTAAAGCACGAGGACACGAGGGCTCTCTGGGGACACAGGCTGTTTGTGAGCTCAGTCCTGGAGGTCTGCACACAGCTCCATGGTTGTCCTGGGACACACCTGTACAGTGAAGAAGCCTCGTGGGCAGCCATGGGCACCAGCTTGGCAAAGATATCAGGGCCAGTGACAGCAGGGTCCGTAGGGTTGACAGGGAGGGCTTTCACCAGTGGAGCACCTGCAGTTCAAACACAAAGCACGTGTGGGTCTCGAGCCTCCAACAGGAAAACTGCTCTGTTCCAAAGTCAAAGCCTCATTCCTAGCAGATTCCACAGAGAGGAGGGCATCTCAGCACAAAGCCCCACTGCTCCAGAGGTTTCCCACATCTCCACAGATCCACCATGCATCTCTGTGCAAGCCCCCCCCTTCCCTTAGCAGCTCACAGGAGGGGGCACTGCCCATCCTTACCTTTCACAGACTGCAGGGTGTCCAAGGCAGGCACAGCTTCATGGTAGATGAAATCGTTGTCTTTTTTGGCTGAGTTGTACCTAGAAACAAGAAGTGATGAGAAGCACACATCACCCCTGGCTCCCTGAGCGTGGTCCCCATGGGGTCAGGTTCTGCCCCTCCTGGGTTCTGGGAAGAGCCAAGAGCCTCAGGCAGCACGGGGGGACACAGGACACTGCTGTGCTGAGGCTCCTCACTGGCTGCTCAGGCTATGAGGTGTTTGTGGCCCATAGAAAAGCAGGACAGTTATGGCTGGGGCAGCCTGAGCACACTCACTTGCCACCGATCACATCCATAGTGAATCTCAGGGCTTCCTGGACAGTTTCTGGCTGTCCCTGCACAAGTGACAATAAAAGCAAGTTAGCACAGGCAAGGCTAGGGGACTGCTGCCCCAGTGCTGACTGCAGATGTGTGACTGCAGGTACAGTCAGAGTGTGCCCTGGGAGCAGCAGCAGCACCACCAGCACCACCTCATCACCATGCCTTCCCTGTGGGGCTGCTGGAAGGTAACAGAGCCTTGGAGAGGGCTGATGGGGGTCCCAGAGGGGAACGCTGATGCTCTGGGAAGCCATAATGTCTGCCACTCCAGTCAATGGGCAAGGAAAGCTCTTACATTGGCACCACCAACTCTCATCCTTGGTATCTCACTGCCCACCAGCAGTGCCCAGCCCTCACCCCCCTCACCCTACACCTGTGTGACTCAGTCCCCATTTCAAGGCACTGCACTCCAGACTCACACCAGCAAAGCAAAAGTCCCTTGTGTCACTCTGTCCCTTTCCTCAGGAGTGGACAGCCTTGTGTCAGCCCCAGAGGTTTCCCTGAGCACTGCTCCTAGAGCAGGGATGTGAAAGAATCATGCCCAAGGGTGCTTCCACAAAGCAGTGACACACTGAGGGTTTTACAATCTGGTTACTGTTACCAGAGAAAGAAGGGATGTACCTTTGCCAGCTTGATAGCTTCATTGAGTTTATCCAGTGCACTCTGGAAGTAGATGACCTGCAGAGAGAAAAGGAATTAGCCCCAAATATGTTAAAAGCACCAGAGTTGGCCCAGAATTACGTGCCTACTCCTTGCACCACAGCCAGCCCCAAGGGCTGCAGCTTTGTTCAGTACAATAGGGTTTGCCAAGAACACCTGCGTGGCACCAAAACAGCCCCACGAAGCACCAGCACTCTTCATAAGCTCTTAATGCAGAAACCCCCATCATTAGCACGACAGTCCCTCCCAGGACTCAATCCTAGCAGGGCAGGAGCTCAGCATGGGTCTGCACAGCCACACTTACCCTTTCCCCAAACTTCTGCTGCTCTTCGGCCTGTTTTCCCATGTGCAGCTGGAACAAAACACAGCAGCAGCGTTAGGGATCCTTCCAATGACAGAAATCTTTCTGGCAAGCAAATCAAGGGCTGGTCTCACATGGTGCCACTCTTCCCACTTACATGGGCCACGGCAGCAAAATAGTAGATCTTCATTTGAACCAGCTTCTTCCAGTCCTTCTGGATCTTTCCCAGCAGCGAGGCTGTCTCTGAGTTCTCCAAGGCCCGGCAGGCCTCTTTGTAGTAATCCACCACCTGTGGGGAGCAGGATGGGCATCTGAAAACTCCACAGACAGATCCCAGTTTGAAAGGAAAGCAGCAATGGAAAGGATTCAGTGAGCCTGGTCTGAGATCACCTGGCCAGCACAGCAAGAAGTTGTGGGCATCTTATTGATGTATTTTGGGTCAGAGCCAGAGACTACAGCCATCCCTGTGCTAAGTTTTCCCCAGAGGGTGTGTTAAAAATACAATTTTCTTTGTGGAAATTTGCTGTTCTTCTGCTTTGAGGAGCTGTGACTGCATTCCTAGCTCGCTGTGACAGCAGCCCTGTGTGGCTGCACTGATGCTGTACAGGGTCTGGACAAACCCTTCCAAGCTCCTCATCCCAAGCACCACTGCCATGCACAGAGAAAGCGAGGCTGTTTGCTTACAGCAGGTGCTTGTGGAATCAGCAAGCAATCAGCAGAGATCCTCCAGTGCCTCACCTGAGCGCTGATCCGGGCCACAAGGAAGCTCTTCCTGTTGTCCAGCATGGACTTCTCCAGCAGACACTCCTGTGCCTGGCCCTGCCAAAGTAAGAAGGAAGTCTGAGTTTTCCTGTACAGGAAACCCTCCTGGACTCACTGGTAGCAGTCCCTTTCTTGACAGGCCAGCACAGCACTGCTGACACAGCCCAAAAAGATGACCCCCACAGCCCCTGGGCCCAGCAGCGTGGCACAGAGCTCTTCTTTACAGTTTCTCTAATAGTGGTCAGGCACTGGAAGAGTTGGAGTCCCCATCCTTGAGGGTGGAGATGTGGCCCTTAGGGACATGCTGAGGATGGTTTGATGGTCGGGCTCAGTGATCTTAGAGGTCTTTTTCAACCTTCATGATTCTATCTTTCACATCCCTTCTCCTAGGAGCAGTGCTCAGGGAAACCCCTGGGGCTGACACCACGCATTGCTTCCTCCCAGCTCCACTTCCAGTCACACAGCAGCTGCCCCAGGGCCTGCAAGGAGCCATTCCCACTGCCCCACTGCTTCCCCACTGCCCCAGAGCCCACTTCATACCAGCATGAGGTTGATGTTGAGGTTGAGGATCTGGTGGCTCATGTCCACGCTGTAGGAGTGGGGGAAGTGGTCCCGCAGGTAGGTAAAGGCACCGGCAGCACACTGGAAATGGGTGCATGAAACCTTCATGCCCTGAGCAGACAGGAGAACATGTGTCATGCATGCACACAAGCCAAGCCAGTGGATGCAGGGAGGTTGTGGAAGACTGGAGAGGCAGCATCCTCCCTTCACACCAATGGTTGGGGTGATAAAATCCAGCTCAGCAGGGCTTAGATGTTTCTTGTGCTGTTTGTGCCTCCCTTGAGACTCCCAAAAGCAGCTGCCACAGCCTGCTCTTAGGGCCAGCTTCAATCTAGAAAGCTCTCAATGCATTTAATGGTGGTTTTAATGCAGGCTGTGCATGCACTAAATTGTGGCTGGGTGATCTCTCCCCTCCCGATCCTATGTGCTGAGAAAACAAGCAGACATCCAGAGCTGCTGTGTGACATGGATGCTTTTAACAACCCACACTGAAGAGAAGGGACTGTTACCTCCTCAGACACTCTCTTGTCCATGGCGCCCAGCATGGAGTGCAGCGCACCTGGGGAAAGAGGAGCACAGCTCAGTGGAGTGATTTGCAGCTGGTCAGCCCCCACGCAGCCCCACATGCAATGCCAAGGCCAGAAGCTGGGTGCCCCTCGCCAGTGAAGCCCAGATCTGGGTGGAGTTTCACTAAAGCCCTTTGTTGCTGAACAGAAAGCAGTCTGCAATGCAAGGAGCAGCCCCAGGCACAGGGATGTGAGTAACTTCAGCTGCACTGGAATGAGCGTGACCTTTCCTTTGGGTTCACAACAAAATCCAAGGCAGGAGAGCAAGAGGGCAACAAGTGTTGCATCTGTTGTTTTTAAACATATTCTGAGGGATGCTGCATGACACACAAAGTCTGACTGGGTCACTGTGCTAGAAAGAGCCTTCTTCCTGCAGCAAGGAACCTGCAGCCCAGCTGTGACTCAGACACAGGGTACAACTGGGGTGCTCTCAGATAAAGAGGAAAGGGAAAGAAGTTTCTGGCAAAACCCAAAGTCAGCTTCCTGTGCTTCTGCCAGGCTGCTCCAAGGAGGGAACACAGACTGAAGGCAGGGCAGAGAGGAGGGATATGCCTCACGCCCAGTGAAATAAAGGATGGACCAGCAGGGCAGCTGGTCTCTCAGGACTCACCCAGGTTGTACAGGATGCAAGCCTGCTCATACTTGATGTCCTCATGAGTCACTGTCTTGCCTGAAAAGATCTCTGTCCTGCAAAGAAAGAAGGCTGTTCACCAGCTATAGGTGGAGCTACAGGCTCTGTCTTGCATCTCCTTAGAGCCAGCCTCTGTCTCAGCTCAGCCTTCCTGCCAGCTTCCCAGGGCAGGATGCCATTTCCACAGGGCTCCCAGGAGCCCCCTGTGCCAGACACAGCTGTGCTTCAGCAGCAGGGGAAGCTGGCCTAAAAGTGCCATCACAAAGAGACCAGTGACTGCACTGCCCTCCTACAGCTTCTGGGAGGCAGATTCTCCCCACCAGCCTCCAACCCCAGGGGTCTCTCTGCTATCTGGAGGCACGTAGGGCACTGTGCCTAAAGGGTCTTTCACATAGATAAAGGGGAAAGGTGCAGTGCAGGGTGGAACGTATCAGATGCCTGTAAAGGATGTGCAAAGTGACGAGGGGGCAGCTGTTCTGGTTTGGGGCAACCTCCCCATTTCACAAAGTGCAGCAGTCAATTGCAGCTCTCAATCCTCCCATCCTTAATGCCCCAGACTTGAACGTACAGGAAAACTGTGCACGAAGAGGAGGCCCCTTTTCCCCTACCGCAGCACAGCAGCACCTCACCATGCAATGGGGACTGCAGCCTCCTGCTCGGCGCCCATGGGGATCCTGCTTTGCAGGTAGTGGAGCTGGCCAAAGTATTTCCTCAGTGTGCTGCAGCCCTCGAAGTCCCTGGGCACGTTCACGGCGCTCTGGGGGAGACAGAGAAAGAGGAATCATCTGCCCAGGGCTGGGCAGCACACTGGGTGTGATGGCAAAGGGCCCAGTGCCCGCCTGGCTTGCGGCAAGGTGT